CGCACGCCCGTCCGCGGCCGTGCAGCCGAGCCCCGCCGAGCAACCGAACCGAGCCGCTCAGCCGAGCCCAGACGAGCAGCCGAGCAGCTTCGAGTGCCGCCGAGCCCGAGCCGAGCCCGAGCGAGCGCCACCGGCCGCAGCTACCGTGACAAGTGGTGCTTGTAGCTGTCAATCAGAGGCATGGCCCAATCAGCGCCGCCCGCCTGGACCGCCCCGCCATTCTCCAAGAGCGCACTGGGCCGCTGGGCCGGGAAAGGCGAGATTGGGGTGTTGGTGGGGTGGGGGTGAAGTGGAGGCCACGCCGGGGCTTGGAGCCTCCGGACCGTGTTCTATCTGCTGGGGGTCTTGTCATTAAAAGGAATGCCGGGGTTGGTGCAGGCAGCAGGCCTCTGGGAGAAGTCCATGTGGCCGCCTTGGTCTAGGGGTTTCTTCCTGCACCCCTGGGTTTTGGGAGGAGTTTTCCGCCCCTCGCGAGAGTTTTGTATATAAAACTGGGCCGTTGTACCATGGAAGGGTGCTGCAGGCGGGTTTGGAGTGCTCGTTACCAGGCACAGGTGTTCCCTGCAGGGTGGGGATGTTAAGTGCTGGCGAGGATACTGCATGCGAGCCGGGTTCTGCAGACGGGGTGGAGATGCTGCTTTTAGGTTGGGGTTCTGCATACAGCGTGGGTGCTATGTGTAGGCTAGAGCTCTGAACGCAGGTAGTGTTCTGCATATGAGGCGTAATGCTTCATGCGGAGCGAGAGAGATGTGCACTGCAGTACCCAGAGTGCCCTGGATGTCTCTCTCCACCGGCTGTTTCTGTTCCCGTGAGAAAGGGACAGCATTTTCGCGGTATGCCAGTAGACACCAGTATACTAGGATCCATGAATTCTAGCAGAGGCATTCTGCAGCAGGGCCCTCTGGTGCCTCCGAGACCTCAGCTGCAGACCTTTCTATATTTAAGATAAGCCGTGAGTCAAGGGGTTTCATGGTTTCCTGAGAAGCCTCTGAAAGTGTATGGCCTTAAGGCCAGCAGTGGAGGCAATCAGACCTACAGGGACCCTCCTTTTCTTGCGTGAAACCCTTGTATTTCCTTAAGATATGCTGTGGGAGGTGGTGGAAAAGGAGAGATGAGGACCAGGCTCAGAACTTTACAGATGTGGGCTGTACTTCCTGTGTACCTCAATGGAAGGAAGCTGCATTAGCCAACAATGTTCCAGGTCAACATGGTATGGAATGTCACCTTCTCCTTCAGCCACCTGCTTGCTCTTGCCCACCCTAAGTGTCACAGTGTGAACTTACAAAGGGGCCCACTTTTTCCAGCACTACCCAGGAAGACCAATGGAGAGTGAGGACATTGTGATCTGTTCATGTTTCCAATGTAAGAAAGAACCAACCCTCAGAACAGCTTTCTCTTCAAAGAGCTGGCCTGATCTTTGGAAGTGGTAGATTTAGGGCCACTGGGTACTAAGAGTTGTTCTGGAATGAGCAGCACTGGCCTGCTAATGGGGACACACAGGCAACCACAGAGGGTGAGCCTCAGGCTGATGCTGGCACCACTCGGGGCAGTGGTGATTTTTCAGCAACACCTGAGAGTATTTGGGACCTTGGAGTAGAGTATTCAACCGGATTTGGCCAGAGGTGAGCAGAAGTAGAACATGGGCAGGTGAGTAGGAGGGCCAATGATCCACATAAGAAAGGAAAGACGATGCCAGGTCCCTGTCTACTGGGGTCCCTCTGGTCACCTGGCCTCCCTGTCTACATTCCCACCTTTCCCATGGCCTTAGCAGCATTTGGTCTGTAGCTATCTTCATCTGCTCCCCAAAACTTTTATCTTCAAGACTGCTTTCTCCCTACCTGCAGTCTACCCTCTCTCTGCCTCTTGGTCTCTTCCCCTCTCTCTAGCTGCCCGTTTTTTGTGTGTGCATCTAGCCAACACCAATCAACAAGCTCTCCGGGGTCTGGAAGTGCCCTCCAGGAGCAGCTGTGTCCCTGCGGTACCTACAGCTTTGAAGCCCGGTGAGTCTCTACTGCCAGGACCACCTGGAGCCCAGGTTCCAACCATACCTGTTCCATAAATCCTTAAAATCTACATCTTTATAGCAGATGTCGTATCCCCTATCCCCATCTTTGTGAAATCACAAACACAAACTCCAGGGTGAGCGGATTTGAGACTGAAGGACATTCCAAGTAATGGTCGGCTAAGAGGCACTTGTGACTGGATACCATGGCTAGTGGGGCCCACTTGGTCCGCTGCATTGTGGGGACAGGAGCTGTGAGGGATCCAGTGCTATTGAGCAAGTTGACCTGCTCCAGAGTTAGGGAGGCCCTTGTCCAAACCAGGAGGCCTCTCTGGCAGACTAACCTCCCGCTGCACCAGTGTGTCCTTAATTATTTAACATAAGCCAGGACCCACACCAGATAAAGATAGGTCAAGAAAGGAAGTGGAGCCCACTACTTCCAAGGACCTAGTAACGAAAATCCTTAACAGAGTGTCAGCAGCAAATTGATTCCAGCGATAAGTGAAAAGAATTCCTGTGAATCTGTAGGGCTTTTGTCTAGAAATTCCCAGTTAATGTTTCCAACTAATTTTAGTAGGTTAGGCCAATTAGGCCAGAAAAAAACTATAATACTCATTTTTTAAAAAAAAGTTTCCCATTGCCCCATCTAGTGTCAGGCAGGTCCCAGAGCCCTTAGCCTGAGGGTCCAAGTGAAATTCCTCTGCCATTTCTACCTGCTTCTTTTGGTTGTGTTTTGAGACAGGCTCTCTCCATGTACCCTAGACTGGCCTCGTTTGCCATGATCCTCTCCTCGGCCTTCCAAATGTTGGGATTACAGGCACGTACTGCCATGCCTGCTTCTGCCTGCCCAGGGAGAGAGAATACAGAGCATTTAGGGGAACAGCCAGGAGGGAGACCAAGATGCCAGGAGAGGCTCAGAACTTCTGTAGACTAAGCTTGCTTCTAGTTAGCCTGGGCTAACCTAGAGACAAATGTGGGAGTAGATAACCCCAAGACAGAGGAGTATAAGTCCCAAAGCCACTACTTTGGGACTGCTTTTACAGTAATTCAGCTGTGGAGCCTGGACTTGGGAGGAGGCTGATACATTTGGGAGGGACATAGGGATGGTAGGTAGCCAAGGATCAGGCCCATGTGGGGTGCAATTGGGAAGGTGTACCCCCACTTATCTTCACTTTTTCCTTCACCTTGACTATTATTCCATTCACATTTTCTGAGAAGGAAATGAGGCTAAGAAAACACAGCCCTGGCCTTGGGAAAGGTTGCACAGCCCTTCAAATGCGGATAAGAGACTGGTGTGTGGATACATCTGAAAAGGACCACAGATGCTGTGTGCTGTGTGCATTTTCCCACGCTTTAAAAAATTGAAAGCAGGCTAGAGAGTTACATTTTAAAATTGGTGCTTTTGTTGCTTTCCTCCTTTACTTTCTGGCACATGGGATATTGTTGTATGGCATCTGGGGGCCCCACCGCCAGGGTTGGGGAAGCCGGAGCCAGATGCAGGATTATGGGGAGTAAGGAAAGGAGACATTGTTTCCAAGGCCTCCTGGATCAGTTTAGAGCATTAATCCATTTCCTGGGAAACAGCCCAGACCCCTGAATGCATTCCCTAGGAGACAGCACCAGGGGGCCCTCATCCTGGCTCCTTACTGTCTTGTAAATACAGTAAGGCAACCAGAGTGGAGGACAGGCTGAGAATATGCATCCACACCCTGGAAGGAGGAAAGAGGAAGGAGGTGGCAGTATTAAGCAAATGCAGTAAATGCAAGTACTACAGTTGCCAGGAGCATGCATTCTTTTCTCTTCCCTCCACTCCTTCTAGAGCAAGCCACAAAGAATTGATGAAGAGCAAAACTGTGTCCAAGGCAATTGAGCAAACTCTCTGTATAGAGTCATCCCAGCCCACTAGTAACAGCTGAAGGAAGACAGAACGGTAAGCTGTACCTTCATCCGCCGTGGATTTTTAGCTCAACCGTCCTTGTATTGACTCATTTAATGAGATGGCTTCTGAAGCAAAGGTGAGGTCCCAGCCACAGACCTACTTTGAGCCACGAGTGGTGCCCTGCTTAGCATTCTCATCCTGCCTGCTCTTGCTTGTAACAAGACTATTGATGGTTTCAATTTAGTTTTTATTATTATTGCTGTTTGCTCTTCAGAGTTTAGAGATGTACATCAAGGCTTCTCCCACCTCACACGCCTCCAAAGCATTCCTCGGCTTCCAGGAAAGAGCATGAGAGTCATGGTGAACACTGATAATTAAAGTCAACATCTCAGCACATTGAGTCAATTTCTTTAAAAATTTTTTTTCAACACCAGATAACCCTCGATATCAATTCTCCATATCCAAATAGCTGGCAGGCTTCCTTTTCTGCAAAGTGGATGTCTCTCATGAAATTTGCATTTAATAGCAGTTGTTTTCCTGCCTTTCTCAGGAACCTCCAATACCGTGGTCCTCTCTCGGTCCTGACCTGACCATTTTCCAAGTGATGCAGGAGGGTAAGGAGCTGCCTATGGTTGTCATGGCTGCAGAGTGTGCATTGTACTGCCCCATGTTTGTTCATACACAGAGGAATGTGAATCCCGTTTCACCCCAGCAATGCGATCCTTGGGCCTCCAACTCCTGCTGTGAAGAAGCTACAGGGCCCTGCCTTCCTGACCCCTTCCTCAAGGTCCAGGGTGGTAACCAAGTTGGGCTGTGAGCAGCTCTGAGGCTAGGTGCACCTCAGATGTCAAGCCTTTTGTGGTTGAGTGTAGTAGTGAGGTCTCATGTAGAAACTCACAGTCCTCCCTCTCAGCCTCTGCAAAGAGACTAGTCCAGGCGGTTAGAAGGGTTATAAGGTTATAAGGGCCTTAGAAGACCCCCTTTCAAAGGGCAGCTGTGAGCATACTCAGGGAGGGCATCAATGACCCAGCGGTTCTCCAGGGCTTGAACTTTCCTTTCCACCCTTGTCCAACCTCTGCTCAGTAGCCATTGTCCCCCACTTCCTCCGTGGTATCATTCAGGGATGATGGCAGCAGCAAAGCAGCTGAAGGTCCCCCACATCCTTTGGGGTCCAGCCCTACCACCCTCATCTTGAGAGCAAAGGCCAGGGACTTGCTCATTGTTGAGGCCACCATCCCTCCTTGTCCTCCTTAGCCCTGACCCTCTGGGAAGCCTGGGATCTGCACAGTACCTCCTTGTATTCAGGGTTCCCTGCCCCTGTATATCCCATAATCACCACTTGGTCTCTCTCCTTCTCACTCTGAGTCCCCTACTCTCTGAGCCTTTCCCTAACATATACCAGTGTTAGGGTGAATGCCAAACACACCCTGAGCACCTCCTGAGCAATTGTGTCTAGGTCCTTCGCAAAGCCGGGGCCCAGATGCAGGACTGTGGGCGGAATGCTGTTCCCTGGCTCCCCCTAAGGCCCCATCACAGAACCAGCACCTTCTCCCCTGGATAGGCACCAGTGCTGGCCATGACCAACAGACCTGCCTGGCTAGTGCAGTGCACATAGAGTGATCCCGAATTTGCACCTGACAGACCTTTGTGCTGTCGAGGCTATGAGGAGAACAGGTCTCAGGTGGCTTCTCCAGCTGTGGCACAGGAACAGAGGGACTCTAAACTACACCCTGGAGTCACAGTACTGAGCCACAGTCAAACTGTCCTGCACACCTGCTTCAACTGTATACATGCTTGTACTGCACACTGCCAAGCCTGAGGTTGTCGATGGCTGTGCCACACTTTGTCTCTGGTGACAGACTAGGGCTCCTGCCACCCCTCCAACCCCAATCTGGTGACCCCAGGCCACAGTCCAGACAAGCACCCAGTGCTCCTTGGCAGCTCTGCCCATTTCTATTTCCCACAGCCCATTTCCCCTCCCGACAGGTCTTTCAGCCCCAGTGTCTAGAAGCAGCAAAAAAACCAACTGACCTCCCTATGACAAAGACAAAGAGCAGACCAGAAGGAAAATTGAGAGCATTTTATTTTCATTAAAACATATCGGATACTAAGAATTGTGTTTTCCTAATCACAGCGCTGGGCTGGAAGCCAGGGCATCTCTGCTGACGTCAGCTGTGTGTGGAGGCAGGCAGGGCCCAACCCACTTTTGGTTGAGAGCTCTCGACACTTTCAGCGGCTGCTCCATGTCCCCGTGAAGCTAGCATGGTCTAGGGTTTGGAGGATTCATCCCCCACCTGTGACTGATGCTGTGCTCCTCTTGATTGTAGATTTCTGCATAGCTTGCTATCCCCCCATAGTTGAGAGCGGCAGACGCTGCTGTGTATAGTGCCTGCCAGTGACTAGTCAGAGGGGTCCAGGACTACAGTAAGGAGCAGATATGGGAACAGAGGACCCGGGCTACCCATCGGGTGACTATAGCCAAGGGCTCCTGGAGCCACGGGATTCCTGAGCTCCTGGTAGAATCCCAGGAGACGGATGTTACTGGCATCCCACCTCCTCACCCTGCAGATTCTGTCTCTTGGCAAAAAGCCTGTTGGGGAGGCTGGGCCTGGAGTACAGCAGCCACTTCACTCCTGTCCTTCCTTGGCAGTGAGGCCTGGCCCCCCATGCCTACTGGTACCTCAGTTTGCATAAAATAGGTGAATTCACAAGACTCCTCAAGGTTGTGGGGTGTGTAGTGCTAAGGCAAGGATGTAGAGTGTGAGCTAGTCAACTGTTCTCATTTGAAAAGATCCAAAAACAACCACACACACACACACACACACACACACACACACACACACACACACACACACACACACACACAGACTCTCTTGCCCCATCCCTGAGCCTGAAAAACAATCTTTCTTAAAATCAGAATCTGTTTTCCTGGACAGCAAGACAGGTCCCATGATCAGGATGAAGTACGATTCAGAATCTCGGTCCTAACTGGCTAGACTGCCCCAGCACAGGGGACCTGGAGTGAGGTGTTGTGGAGGACACTGTGGCAGGAAGCAGCCAGTGACTCTTTGTGAGTGGGTGTCCTCAACACCTAGTAGGCCATGCTGTGAAACACATCTCCCAAACAGTGGCACAAAACAACTGTTTGTAACACTCAAGGGTATGAAAATCCAACCTAGCAGGCCCAAGCTGGGAGACAAAAGGCTGAGTCTGGAATCTTCCAGTCACAGGAAAGTGTTTTCGAATGTTGCACTCTTTTCTTAATCATTTGGCTGGGGTCCTTATGGATAGAAATCGATGGGCAGGTAAGGAAAAGCTCTTCTATTGCAGGTAGCCCCTAGCTCCTGAGTGCCCAAGACCTAGGGTGGGAGGACAATACCCAAGCCTACAACTCGAGTCCTGAGAGCTGAGGGTGTACTGCACCAAGCTTTAGAAACTAGAGACTTAGGGTTCTCTACACAGCCTCATTACCCTGCACCTTACCCTTCAGTGACCCCAGCACTTGGCAGCTGTGAAATCCCAAACTTCCAGCAGTAATGAGTGGCAGCAGCGGGCTGAGAAGGCAGGAGGCCTAGTGTTAACGTCCTTAAATGGCCTGCAGGTAACCCCAAGCTGCTTCAGTGGCTGGTGTTACAGATGTCAGTCCCAGAATGTCAGCTCCTTCACCCTTGATTGCAGCTGGAGTTACAGCTGTCAGACCAAGGGGGTCTGAGGCCCTTGACCCTACAGCTTAGCAGCTCCCTGGAACTTTTTTTCTGGCAAGGCTGTAGTTTCTTATCTTTAGCATCTGCCTGCCTGCCTTCCTTCTTTCCTTCTTTCCTTTCTTCCTTCCTTATTTCCTTTCTTCCTTCCTTCTTTGTTTTGGTTTGGATTATTTTGTTTATTTGTTTTCTGAGACAGTGTTTCTCTGTGTAGCCCTGGCTATCCTGGAACTCTCTCTATAGACCAGGCTGGCCTCAGACTCACAAAGATCCACCTGCCTCTGCCTCCTGAGTGCTGGGATTAAAGGCATGCACCTCCACCGCCCGGCCTACCTTTCTTTTAAAATAAGTTTTAGGGGCTGGAGAGATGGCTCAGAAGTGAAGAGCACTTGCTGCTCTTACAGAGGACCTGGGTTCAGTTCCCAGCACCCACACTGGGCAGTGCACAGCTGCCTGTAACTTCAGTTCTAGGGGACCTGATGCACTCTTCTGGCCTCCATGGAAACCTGCTGCACACTATGCACAAACTTACATTCACACATACACACATATACATAAAAGAATCACATAAACCTTTAGCCAGGCACACTTTTAATCCCATCATTTGCGAGGCAGAGGCAGGCAAATCTCTGTAAGTTCAAGGCCAGCAGGATCTACAAAATGAGGTCCAGGACAGCCAGGGCTGTTACACAGAGAAACCCTGTCCCCTGTCTCAAAAAACAACAGAGAGAGAGAGAGAGAGAGAGAGAGAGAGAGAGAGAGAGAGAGAGAGAGAGAGGAGAAAAGGAAGGAAGGAAGAGAGAAACCTTTAAAGATTTTTACATTTTTTGCGTGCGCATGCTGGAGTGTGTGTGTCACAGCATGCATGTGGAAGTTAGAAGACAACTCTTAGGAGTCAGTTGCTCCTTCCACCACATGGGTCCCAAGGATTAAACCCAGGTTGTTAAGTTTGGCAACCTTTACCTGCTGAACCAACTCAGCTTATGCTTTGTGCACTCGCCCCTTCTCTCTCTCTCCTTCCCTCCCTCCCTCCCTCCCTTCCTCCCTCCCTCCCCCCTCCCCTTACCCCCTTCACTTCTGCTATGCCTTGTCTCTGCTGCCTCTGCCCCTCATCACTTGTTCTGCAGCCACTCTTTGGAACCCCTCAGCCACCTGGCTTCTGTCTGCCACCACCATCACTCCCACTGCCAGGATGACTGCTGCCACCATTTCAAATGGCACTGCCATTTTACCCTCGCGTTACTAGAATAGCCAGCTCCACCAATGGTAAAGATCAAAAGTTAGCATGAAAAGTGTTCTCCAGTAACACATTATATTATGCCTGTGCTGGTTAGCTTTTGTCCCATTGACATGGGCTAGGGGCATCTAGGTCCTAGATTCTAGGAAGAGCTAACATCAATTGAAGAATTGCCTCCATCTGATTGGCAGATTTGGTGAGTCTGTGGTGCATTTCCTGGTTAATGATTGACATGAGAAGGCCCAGATCATTGCAGGCGGTGCCCCCCTCATACAAGTGATGCTGGGTTGTATAAGAAAGCAAGCTGATACCTGAGGAATGCTGATTCATACCATAAAGATACATGCTCAGCTATGTTCATAGCAGCACTATTTGTAATAGCCAGAACCTGGAAACAACCTAGATGCCCGTCAACGGAAGAATGGATGAAAAAAATGTGGTACATATACACAATGGAGTACTACTCAGCAGAGAAAAACAATGAAAGCATGAAATTTGCAGGCAAATGGATGGAACTAGAAAAAAATCATCCTGAGTGAGGTAACCCAAACCCAGAAAGACAGTAATGGTATGTACTCACTCGTAAGTGGATTCTAGATATAAAATAAAGAACAATCAGACCACAACCCATAGAACCATAGAGGCTATATATATGGCATGGAGGTCCCTAGGACGACTGTGGCTTATAATAAATTTCAGTTTTACTCAATTATTGAAAAAAATAGCCAAATGAATGGAAACACATGAACTATGAACCAAAGGCTGAGTGGCCCCCAGCTGGATCAGGCCCTCTGAATAGGTGAGACAGTTGATTGGCCTGATCTGTTTGGGAGGCAACTAGGCAGTGGGACCAAGTCCTGTGCTCATTGCATGAGTTGGCTGTTTGAAACCTGGAGCTTATGCAGGGACACTTGGCTCAGTCTGGGAGGAAGGGACTGGACCTGCCTGGACTGAGTCTACCAGGTTGATTGCAGTCCTCGGGGGAGAATTTGCCCTGGAGGAGGTGGGAATGGGGGGTGCGCTGGGGGGAAGGGGAGGGGGTGGGAGTGGGGAGAACAGGGGAACCCGTGGCTGATATGTAGAACTGAATGGTATTGTAAAATAAAATAAAAGGAAAAAAAAAAAAGAAAGAAAGAAAGCTGAGCAAGCCATGGGGAGCAAGCCAGTAGGCAATGTTCCTCCATGGTCTCTGCTTCAGTTCCTGCCTCCAGAGTCCTGCCTTGAGTTCCTTCCCAGATTCTCTCAACCATGGAATGTAGCCTGAAAAGGGAACTAAACCCCTTTGTCCCCCAAGTTGCTTTTGGTCATGGTTTTTATCACAGCAACAGAACACAAAGTAGTACGGTGCCTGATGTTGCAAACCCAGGAGGCAGCACTAAAGGATGTCTCCTACCAGACTAGAGAAGCGAACCAAGCATCTGGCTTCTGCAGAGACAGAAGGGAATGTGGCAAGGATCTTTGTGCCAATCATAGCACAATCCTTCCTGCAAATAAAGGATTACATTTGCAACAATCACAGGCCTCCTTGCTGGGCTATCAGGAGAAGTGCTCCTCCTCTGGCCTTGGTGAAGACGGAGCCTAGAGTTCACTGAGATTTGTAATGGGGAAAGTCTAAAATAAGCAGGTCTTGCCCACGGCTGGGATAGTGTCTTCTGGAGCCTGAGTGGGAGCCATAGCAGCTATGGTTGGTGTGTAGCTTCATCAAGGCAGCTATGGAATTTCAAAGCAGCCAGGCTACCTTAAGAGCAGCCCAATGAGCTACTTTGTTAATAGTAGAGGAACTGCTTAGAGGAACCAGGACCCCCAGGAAGGGTCTAACAACTGGGAAGTCAACATTAAAAAGAATGCTTACCGTGAAGGTTTATCATCAGCATCAACAGTGATTTAACTGTACGTAACAATTCACTCTTAACCAAATACCGTAGGCACAAGTTGGATCATCTCATCTGCCTCACACTGCCTCTAGTAGTTGTGGGGCTGTCAGTGGATTTGTAATTTTCTTACATGCTGCTTAAAGGTCCACAAAGGCTCAAAGGCAGCAACCACCGCCTCCTGGTGAGCAGTTCAGAGGTCGGGAGAACACTGAAACTGAGAGTGGCATCATGGCCATTCTTGGACTGTGCACCGTGCAGCACCAGCACCAGGCTCTTGTTGAAACACTCTTCCCCTTCTACAAGGGATCCCTGTATTCCACCCTGTATATACCCCTTTCCTTGTGCTGACCTCCCAGCCCTTGTATTCTGAGGGCCTCCAGTTTCTTCCCGTCCTGATGCCTTAAGGCCTAGGCATAAAGCACACTGAGGAACCCTGTCCCATCCACCCTGGATCCACTACATATTTGACTGCCTTCCCACCCCATTCTGATTCTCACATGTGCCTTCCTTCAGCCAATCCCAGAAAGGGAGTCTTGGGCTGGGTCTGTACCCTGCCATGAGCCTAAAGCTGCAGGCTCCCAGCAGGGGATCAGGACCCTGCAGAAAAGTAGTTTCTCAGTGAACCCTGCCCAACTCTCCAGACCCCCCTCTGTACACTTTGTGGTTGCACCATCTGTTAAATTAATTTGAGCATGTCCCTTTGTCCCCTCTATCTTCATTGTGAAGCCTGGGACACCAAAGACCTATCACTTTACTTTGCCATTTGTGGGTCTTACTTCGATGCTCTTGAACAGAACTCTGAATTTCCTCAAACAGGTTGACTCGTATTGCCTCACTCAATAAATAGCCCTGCAAGATGTCCATTGTTCCCAAGGACAGGTGAGAGATGGGGCTAGGTAATATGTGTCTAGGACCAAGTCACTTACTGAGGAGAGAGACTGGGGAAGAGAGTGCTGACGTAAAGGGACCCAGGGACTTGCCTGAAAGCCAAAGGAAAGATTGCTGGGGCAGGTGGCTATGCAGTGACATAGCCCTCCGCCCCACCTCTCAAGGCACTTTCTGATGGGGTGGAGGAGGTTCCAAGAAGCTGGGTCAGGTGAACAAGCCCTTCTGAGCAAAGGAGAAAGGCTGTGGGACATGCCTGGACAGTTGGGGGGTGGAGAGAGAGAGAGAGAGAGAGAGAGAGAGAGAGAGAGAGAGAGAGAGAGGTGTTTCCTGGTCATGCCCTGCTTCCTGGGCTGCAGCGCTCACACACTCACTGTACTGATAACACTGCCAGATGCCAGCCCTCCCTGCCTCGACACTTTCTGTTTGCACCTCAGCACTGGGCATTGAGTGATCAATCCACCTAATGCCTCCAAAGGGGCCTCTGAGGGTGGTATTGCTGGGAGCAAGTGGTGTATTCCTGTGGGGTGACTGCGTTGTTGCATCACACATCATTGTTTACTAAAGGAAGAGCGTCCTGGTAACAAATGGGGATTCCCTGGTTTTTCCATCTAGTGCGTTGGTTTTCTTTTTCTCTCTCTCCCTCTCTCCTTCCCTCCCCCGCTTCTTTCTTTCTTTCTTTCTTTCTTTCTTTCTTTCTTTCTTTCTTTCTTTCTTTCTTTCTTTCTTTCTTTCTTTCTTTCTTTCTTTCTTTCT